TTTTTTTTTTTTTTTTGTATCTTGGAATTTTCGCGTTTTTTTGCTGGTTTATTACTTTTCTTGTTACGCAAGTCATATCGTTGGGTGATGGGGTACCGAAGGGAAGTGTCTTTGTCACCTTTTATGTATTCTTCTTAATGATATGGCACCCTTTTCTACTTTCTTTACAGACGGTGACGTGAGGGAAATGATCGGGAGATAGAGATTGGCCTTTGAGGGGAAAATAGAATGAGGATGTTGTAGATATGTTTGATGGACTGTGCCTGTGTTGAGTGATGCTGTGCTTGTGGTAAAGAGTGAAACGTGCCACATCTACGTCTAGTGATGAGCTTGAGGGGAAACTCAGGGACGTCGTGATACTGTCTTGTCTTTCACAGACGTAGTACTGTGGATGGAGGACATGGATGAAGCAATCTCACGGAGCAATGTAGGGGATGCGCACATGCCATGCGTCAACGTGTTGAAGATGGTATCAATTCTGTACCCAAACGCCGGGTATTCTCTGTAGCAACTACTCCATTTACCCAGCAGGCCAGTCTATGTATGACCTCGACCGACCATAAACCCAAACGCGAAACGCCATGTAATGTCTAAAAACTCCTGTACCTCTATTGCCCCATTGCCAAAGCATTCCAGCTTCTAGGTGCCAACTTCAGGCCACACGTGTAAGTGTAATTATTGTAACGACAAGTGCCACCTGCCCATACGAACTGAAGCCCATAATCTGCGCGCCGCAGAGACAAATACTGATGTACACCGTGCTGTGAGGATCCTACTCCTTTAATCTCTTGGCTGGTCTTATGAGCGAGTCATCAGGTAATCCACTGCGCTTGGTACCAGGAAGACTGCTAGTTCTAATATCGTTGTCGTCTTGGCTCACGCGTCGGCAGGGATACTCGTTCTTGCAACCCTCGAAGCAATTCGCGCTGACGCGATCACCTGTGGTGAAAAACGGCGATTGAAGAGCTTGAGCGGCGGTGAGACGCTTTTGAGGATCGTATTCTAGAAGACCGGCGAGCAGCTTGTAACCTTCTGAGCCCAGAGAGGCAAGCGGCGGACTGCCTCCGGGGGTGCTGGTGTGGTTGATGGTGCTGTAATACCACTTTTCAAGGTTTGAGCCACCCGGTGGGGGCGGGGGAGGGTTGCGTGAGCCGTAGTGGCCGTGGTGGTGAGAATGGTGATGATGGTGGCCGTGATGAGACATTGAGTTGGCGAGAGTGTTGAGTTGGTTGTATTCTGGCATCGTTGGAAGAAGGGGCCATTTGTCTTTGGTAGGAACGCCCATGATCTCTATGATCTTTTGCATCTGGTTGCGTTGGAAGGGAACTGTCTTTTTGCTGTCCATCTTGGCTTCCTCGCCCTTAAAGATAGGCCGCAAAGACAAAAGTTCAGCAAAGATGCATCCGACAGCCCACATGTCGATAGCGGGAGTGTAGTGGTAAGATCCAAGGATGAGCTCCGGTGCTCGGTACCAAATTGTCACGACGACTTTGTCTCCGCTGAATAGTGAGTGTAGGGGCTTATCGAAACGTCGTGCCAGACCCAAATCACCAATCTTGACTTCGCCCGATGAAGTGACCATGATGTTGGCGGGTTTGAGATCACGGTGCAAGACCCAGTTGGTGTGGATATACTGGCAACCGTTGAGCAGTTGAAACATGATGCTCTTTATCGTTGCTGGAGGGATCGGATGTCGTGGCTGTTGTGTATGGTGATGAATGATCTGAAGCAAATCATGCTCTGCGTACTCGAAAACCATGAAGATGCACTTATCCTCGAGCATAATCTCACAGAGCTTGATGACATTGTGATGATGAAGCTCACTGCAGAGACTCATCTCGCGGACAGCACTCTGCGAGATACCTGTGTAACTGATCTGCTCGCCCTCCTTGTCAGGCTTGAACTTCTTGATGGCGAACTCGCCGACAGGCTTTCCATTGCGACCGACAGCCTTGTACACCCGTCCATAAGTACCGGAGCTGATGAAACCAATGATGCGATAACGATCTGTGATGCGGACCTTGGGCTGATACCCGGTAGATCGGTCGTGAGGTTCTACATGGCGTTTCTGGTAAGCGTGGGCTGGGAAACCGAGACCAATATGAGGGCGGAGAGGCATCGCCGAGTGTCAAGATGCCAGAGTAAAATGCGCTTTAACCACTTGGCATTGGCACGATGTTGAGTGAGACTGGGGTGGATGATGAGGACAAAGACAGGATCCACAGGTCGGTAATGAACCAAAGCAAGCTCAGACCTCCAAGATCCAGAATAAAATAAAATGATGCATGCAACAAAGTCTAAAATGATGACGATAAGACAAGACAACGCTGAAGAAAAAGATGAGAGTTTTGATGTTGACGTTGATGAGAGTTGAAGTCCGAGTCAGGTGAAGTCGTCGTTTAAAATCGACACCTCAGGTTGATCTTTTCCCCAGTCGGGCAAGTATGGCGGCGTCATCCGAATACAGAGGCAAAAAAAGAGAGACAATGAAGTACAGTACAGTACAGCTTAGTCTCAGCTGTTGAAGAGGCAAGTCATAGGAGGAATAATATGCAAGACGTGCAGGAAATGGCAAGTCGATTCGGGGTACGGACACGGATAAGGAAGCCGACGTGATGTGCAGTGCAGTGAACCGACAGCGACAGGGAATCACAGATAGACGATAGATAGAACTTATAGGAAAATAGTATGTAAAAAGAGATAACAGTAATAGAAGTAAAGTAAACTCACCTTCAAAAGTAGCCTGAACACTCCGCTTCAACGTCCCCCTGACAGCGCCCAAGCCAACGGATCCCGGGCCCGAAGCCCCCGTCGGCGGATTCGTTATGCTCATTTACGAAATGGATGGATACCTTCAACCTCTCTTTTTTCAGCTCTCCCTTTATAATTAGGCTCTAACTCTCGGAACGGGGTCTCCGAATGTAAGCGGGTGATCTTGCCCCCTACCTAGATAGTACTGTATTTCCCCGCGCGGGGGGGAAAAAGTAAAGCAAGAAAAAGGGTAAGACAAAAAATATGAAGTAATAGATGCAGACACGCGCCCGATAGGTTATATGCGCCGGTTGCGCTGCAGACGCAGCTTGTTCGTATTTGTTCTGCCACTCCCGACTCCGACTCCTTCTGCGGCGCGGATCTCTATCTCACAAAAAAAGATAAACGCGTGAATCTGTATGGGTCGGGTTCGTGCGGAGGTCCGCCTTTGTGGAGTTGACTTGTTTGCCGGGGGATATAGGATGGGAATAAAGTGAGTCTTGTGAATAAGATATATTGACGGTCTTTCTTTTCCGTAGACTGGTTTCGCGGGTGATGGGGAAGAGAAATGCGATAGAGTGAAAAGGGTTTGGTTTCATCTTGCTCCCTCGTGTTCTGGAACTATGCGACTGATTGTCCTGTTAGGCGATGACTAAGCTGGATTGGATATCAACACCAACATGTCAAGTCTCGGTGATGGTTGACCATTGCGTGTAATGGACTCAGGACTTAGGATATCCAACATGACAATTGATTCCGAGGATCAACTTACACATCTCCTAGATCCATTGTTTCTCAATTGGTGGCGATCCAGTCCACAAACTCACTCTAACCTTGAGCAAAACGCTGATCATAAAGTCTTTTCTTGCTGTCTACCTTGCACTAAACTCAACGCAAAATACTAACCCCCCCATATGTAACGCTCGCTCAGACGCTTCGCCCTCTTCTCATCTATCGCGGCCCTAGCTTCTCAAGCACTCTAGTACCTTCCTCCTCCCACTCCGCCTTGGTAACCCACATGCTCTCCTTGTCCGCCATGATGTTGGCCAACACCGCACCACCAAGGAACACCATGTGTCGGCGTCGCGGGGGATCCTCTATCCTGACCTTAAACTTGCTCAGGCGCTCCGGGTTGCCCTGCAGCGCCCGTGTGAGCCACAGCTGCTTGAGCTCCTTCTCCAGTCGTGAGGGAAGACCGGGGTACATGCTGCTTCCACCAGAAAGCACGATCGCCTTGAACAGAGATGAACGAATGTCCACGTCGGCGGATTGGATCGTGTTGAAGAGGAATTCGCCCAGACCGGGGGACTCGCTGTCGACGAGATGAGGCTGGAACAGGCACTCGGGCGCCTCGAAACGCTCGCTGCCCACGCGGATCACACGTCCGTCCGGCAGCGTGTAATCCTCGACGAGAACGGTGGTATCCTCGCTCAGAGCCTTGTCGAGCTCGAGGTCGTACGAAACGTAGCATAGCTTCTCCTTGATCTGGCGGACGGTCTCGAAATCGGCGGTTCGGTTGAGAGCGTAGCCGCGGCGCAGCAGCAGCTTGATCAGGTTGCGCGTGACGTCTCGACCGGCAACGTCTAATCGCTTCGTAAGATGGTTGAGCACGACGGATTCGTAGACGGGGACAATGTGTGTGACACCGTCACCAGAGTCGACCACGACACCGGAGCTGAGACCTACACCGCATGTATTAGCTTCCAATTGCGCCTTTAAGCTTGGAACTTTATGTCCGATGGTTACCTTGGGCGTAAAGAGCCAAAACGGCCTGGATTGCAACGTAGACACCGCCGAATCCATATCTATCAAACATAACCTCGCACATCTTCTCCCGGTTCTTAAGGGGGTTCATGGGAGGCTCTGTCAAGAGAATCTTCTGGCCCTGAGTATCGACCTTGAGCTTCTCGTGGAAGGTGTAATCCCAGAGATGCTCCATGTCTTCCCACTTCTTGACGATACCGTTCTCCATGGGGTAGCTGATCTGGAGCATAGTTCGAGCGGCGGCGGCCTCGTCACCGCACATGATATCCTTGATGACAACATCGCTATCGGTCTGCTCCTCTGAACGCAGGATCGGTCGGCCGACGATGGAAGGGTATTGATGCTCGGGGAAGTTCTGCGCGGCATATCCGACCTTGAGGAAACCAGTACCTCCGTCGAGGACTAAGCGGTAGAGAAGATGAGGTCAGCTTTGGGAGGAGCTCCATAAGCTCAATGCGGGAGAAAGTGAAGCTTACCAATGGGTGGAGGGTGGGACATATTTACTGTATAAAGAGGGGAAACAAGTAAATTCGGTGGTTGAGAGGCCGAGGAGGTGTCGAGTTGCTATCACCAGCAGCTCAGCTTAGAGGAGGTTGAGGTGGTCGTCAGTAGTGGGGTTCGCGTCCCCGACCGTCGTCACCTCAGAGGTTCAGTGGCTGAGGCGGATCACGTGGCGCCCCGCGATGCATTGAACGACTCCATTATGAATTGTCATATAGAATGACATGACCCCTCTTGAGAAACAGCTCAAAAATATTGTCTTTTAGGACGTGAACAGTTTTAAACTTCCATATTTGACTATATTCAGCTCGTTCACCAGTTCTCACAATGTCCGAAATTAACTTCCTGAGGCGGAATCTCCGCATTCTCGTCCTAAACCCGAACTGTTCTACCATCATGACTGAAGGCATGGCCAACGCCATTCGCCATATGCCACTACCGGATGTATGAATAGACAAAAAAAATGAGTCTTAATTACAACACAGGCTGATTGTTATAAAAGTCAGTTGAGATTTTCACCTATACTGCTCCTCCCCATTCCGCTCCCGACAGCATCAACGACCAAGAGGGCATCGACCGTAGCACTCAGGCAGTCCTAGACGACTCCAAGATTGAGGAGGAGCTCGGGTCAGACAAGTACGATGCTGTTCTCGTTGCTTGCTTCAGTGTGCACACTCTAGTTCCCAAGCTGACCCGGTTCCGCCATCTTGCTGTTACTGGTATCTTTGAAGCAAGTATTCTCACGTCCATCTCACTCATGTCTGCAGCTGAGACCGGCGGTAAATGGGGAATTGTCACGACTGGAAAGTTCTGGGAGGATCATCTGACCGATGGTGTCAAGAAGTACCTCGGCCAGGAGAAGGACGGTGTTAACAACAAGTTCGCCGGTGTCTATTCCTCCGGTCTTACAGCTGGTGACTTCCATACCGTTCCACCAGAGAAGGTTAAGGAAAAGCTCAAGGAAGCTACCCGCAAGCTTCTCGATCAAGGTCAGGTTAACTGTGTTGTCATGGGCTGCGGTGGTATGGCTGGTCTGGAGGACATTATCCGCTCGACTGCTATTGAGGAATATGGCAAGGCCGACGGTGACCTTGTCTACATCATCGACGGAGTCAAGGCTGGTATCATGCAATTGGAGCAGATGATCCGCAGCAAGCGAGCCTTCCGATAAATATTCCCCCTGCGTGCTATCTGTGGAATCGCTGTAAAGGTCTAAAATATACTGCTTCATGAATACATGCGAGCGCTTCTCTCCACATGCAATTAAATCCCATCCGGTCCTGTGAATGCAAAGTAACAGATAGATCAGTCAGGAACGTAGAGTGGTGTCATAGACTTCTAGTCAACGCGCCTTGTCCTGCCCCAAACCTCGTCGACGTCCTTCTTACCCTTTGTCTCTGGGACCTTCCAGAACACAAAGATGAACGATCCGGCCGCGAGGGCAGCAAAGATAAAGTATACCCATCCGCCGTGACCACCCAGCACATTGTTAAGGGCTGTGTTGATGATAGGGAAAAATTGAGCGACAAGGAATGTCGCTACGTAGTTTGCTGCGAGGCACCAACTCTGAGTAGCGCCGACAGCTTCCTGTCCGACTAGCTCAGAGGCGAGCAGGAATGGTACTGGGCCAAGACCGACAGCGAAGAAACCGACGAAAGCCACAACGGCAATAGCTGAGACAATCTTGGCTCCGAATACAATCGACAAAGCCAGAACGAAGGCGCTAGTTCCTTGGCCGACAATAGACGCAAGCAAGCAGGTCTTGCGACCCAGACGATCGGGGAGAGGAGCGCACGCGACAGTGGTGACAAGGTTGACCACGGAAATAAGAATGGTGAGAAGAGCTGAAGATATGGGAAGTAGGTCAGCGAGGAGAGAAACGGAGTACATGATGATCGAGTTGACTCCGCAAAGTTGCTGGACAAACATGATTCCCACAACAGCGATGATGGCAGGTCTGGTATCAGGGTCCTTGAGAACCTGGAAGAACCCAAGATGCTCCACGCGGTTCTTAGTCGACAATTCAGAGACACTATCAGGCTGAAGAAGTCCATCTTCCTCGGTGGCATCTCCGTCAGTGTTCCAGGACTCGGTCTCCTCGTTAATGTCGTAGCCATTGCCGCGGATTCTCTGTAGAGTTCGTTTGGCCTTGTTTGCGTTTCCATTGGCAGCCAACCATGAGGGACTCTCTGGTACAACAAACAGACCGAGTGTCTGGGCTGTCGCAACAAATACACCTGACCCAAGGATCCATCGCCAAGCGGTTCCGTAGCTCAGGAAGTATCCTAGTGTCTGGACTCCCAGAATACCGACGTTGATGGAAATCTGTGTCATGAATCCGAATAGTCCTCGTTCATTTGGTGGCGCGATTTCGCTGATGTACAGAGGAACCACGACAGTCGAAGCTCCAGCTCCAATACCGGAGAAAAGGCGACCGAGCGCCATAACAAAGACGCTTCCAGCAATGGTCTCAATAGCAGCTCCAAAGAGGTACAAAAGACCGGTAATGCGCATCGCAGGAAGGCGACCGCGCTTAGACGAGAAAGGTCCCGACGTCAAAGCTCCCAGTAGTCCTCCCAAAGTGAATATAGAAGATATAGTAGCGAACTGAGCTTCGTCCATGGGAATACAATGAGCCATAAAGCCATGATCCTCGACCGGCTTCTTATGGATCATTCCCTTGATCTTATCGAGGGCGGAAATCGATTTCTTGCGGCACGTAATGACATCTTGAGGAGCGTTGAGTTCGGCCTACATGCTGTTAGTTCATGGTCCTGGCGTTGGAGATCATCGTAGCGTACCAAGTGGAAACCGAACTGGAGTGATCCCAGAGTTGTGATGGCGATTAGCAGGATCAGATATCCGCTGATATCGCGGAGTCTGGAGCCGGGCATGTTTGCGTATCTTTGCTGGGGAAGGCAAAGAACGACGCGGTTAAAGGAGGGATGAAGGAGAAGGCGGCTGAGAGTTAAAGGTTCAGAGGACCTGGGGTAGCTCGTGATGGGGGTGGGTCCACCTGCTGATGGCTTGGATACCCCTGGTTGCTCCAGCCGCAGTGGGCAATGCTAAATTTAACGCGATGGCTGATGGTTGGAATGAGTCGTTCGATAGACACTTTGATGGGAACAGAGCTGAGGGCTCAAAGTCTTCAAATGATAATTATGTTTATCTCTCGAAATTAGATCACTATGCCCCTCATCTTTGAGTCCACAGCCGTGCATATCGCTTAACATGGTTCTTTATCACGAACCTAATGCGCAGAGGGTTACCCTATACAGACGAAATAAACTTAGGCAGACTCGGAACTTTCGTGCCGAGTCGTCACATACAGTTCAATTCACTTGGTTCAATCAGGAACTGCATACTTTACGATGTAATCTCTGGCTCTACCTAGAGCTCTCGTCGTGAATGTTTACATATAAATCCTGACTTGACATCAATGAATTTGGTGTTGTCACAACTTCGTCATCAAACAATCATCAACTAAATTGTGTCTATCACGCACTATCAGAATGCTTTATCACGAGGAGCGTAATGAAGATCAAAGTGAATCGATACTGTTTCTGCATGGCGGAGGAGGCAGCCACATCGAATGGAAACTGGTAGCTCATCAGCAGGCAATGGCATCCTATCACCTCATACTCGTCGACTTGCCCATGCACTCTGGATCTCGTGATGTTACGCCCTTTACACTCGAAACGGCAGCTGATGAAGTAGAGAATGTCATTCTCAATCATGCGCACAGTGGAAAAGCACATATCGTCGGGTTCTCATTGGGTGCTTTCGTCGCCTTGGTCCTCACCTCGCGTCATCCAGATGTTGTACTATCGACATTTGCAACCGGCGCATACCCATATCGAGGGCTGTTCAAATGGGTTATGGCAAGGCCGACAGCGATGTGGATTGTGAACAGTATACAGAACATCCCTGGTTTAACGGAGATGGCATTCAAGAAGCAAGGAATTGACTATGAAGACTGGATGGCTGAGCAGGAGAAGAACAAGTCACCGGAAAGGGACGCAGCAATGAGGAAAGAACTCAGTGCATTTAGTATGGAACAAGTGAAGGCTGTCGCGGGTTCTGGAGTTAGGACCTGTGTTGTTGCGGGCGGTAAGATGGACCAGGTCGATGCGATAAGAGACATGGGGAAGGTACTTCGAGATGGCGGACAGGAGAAGGGAGTGATGAATGAGGCGGTTGTGGTACGAGATGCCTATCATCCTTGGCATCTGCAATTGCCAGAGCTGTTTGCTGATGGTGTTGGCGCTTGGGTCAACAATCGAGAGTTGCCGAAGGAGTATGAGAGACTCTAAGTGAACCTCTTGTAGCCCAGCTGCGGTAGGAGTCGAAAGAGCCTGTGCGACAACAATGCAGAAAGGGCAAATCGGTGTGATGCTTGAAACGTGTGGGTAAGGCAGAAGAAACAAAGGCTATTCCGATCTTGTTGAGTCCTGCAGGATGGCATGTCGGAAAAGGACAGGAATCCAAACATTATCGACACTCCGTCTTAGACGCGCTCTCCATAACTGTATTTGCAACATGGCGAGGAGACTAGAAGCTGTATACTACAGCATCCTACATAGCTAACAACCCTCTGAAGTCCACTCCCTGGAATTGTGTGATCATCTTGTGAAGCCCGCTCATATCCGATGTCTCATTCGCCATCCGTGGCACATCAATGCCTTGAGCATCCAACCCAAGCTCATGTTGTCGACAGAAGAGTATCGCAAGACACCAGTACTCCACAGCATGGCAATAGAATCCGATCTTATCGCTCTTGGGCCGGTCTTCGAGTGTCGAAAAGTCACGGTTTGACCAGACGTGAAACCAATTTCTTAAACCTCTTGTGATCGCTTGCGACTTCGGTCCGTGATGATGGAAGATGAGATTGTGTAGAGCTGCGAATGAGTTAGTGACTTGGTTGACACTGTTTCGTTCTTAGTTCCTTACCGCTGATGATGGTGAAAGTGTTCAATAAACTCATCCTCTTGAATACCTTCCATTGCTCCGGACCAATCTCTTCAGTCATCATCATATCGATTGCTTGGTAGAGTGTGATTCGCTGAATGTGGGAATCGACTTGAAGCGCTGCCCAAGTCTCAGGATCTGGAGCGAGGAAGAGTTCCTCTGAACTCGCCAGACGGAACCGTAACTCAGTAACAACCATGCGCGGAACCGAATTGTGGAATATGACAAAGGCACAGTCCAGCAAAAAGATGTACAGAAGAGTGCGGATACACTCTTCCCGGAGCGCAAAGTTCATCCAGGCATCGGTCGTATCAGCCGCCATTGCAAACGGATACAGACTTCGAGAAACAGAGACAATTTCCGAAAAGTATCTTCTTCGCGCTCTTGTTTGTTGTACTTTGGAGCCTTCCCAATTCATGAGTAAGACGAGGGCGTAAGCGGCCTGTACGAGGTCGAGTCGTTCGCGGACTTGAAGAAGTCCATGGACTGCATCTTCGCAAAGCTCCAAACTCGAGAATATCCACTCTTCGACGGCGTCTATACATAAGGTCGCTTGTTCTCGATCATTGGGTTCGGGACTCAAGCATGCGCCGATCAATGAGAGGGCGGCTATCAATTGAGGCGATTTTTGGGCTGCATAGAAGGTCGGTTTGTGGAAGACGGGCCAGTTCGGGTACCATATCTGGAAGAAAACGTCCAGGAACGATTCGAGGTTGGTCGGAGAGAAGAACTGTGTGCAGGAAGACTGATGTGGGCTGAAGCCGGGTTTTCGAGAAAGGTCTGCGGCGCTCAGGATGCCCATGATGATCTCCTGGGATTTGGCTGCCAGGGTGTGCGGAGGTGCTATATCGTAGCATAAGGTCGTGTCGACGCAGGAAGTTGGTTCTGCAAGAGAACTGGGTAACGGAAGAGAAGCAAAAAGCGCTGGATGATGTGGACCTATGCTCATTGGACAAAGTTCTGTCCATGGCGGTGTTAGCCATGTATAAGAAGTAGTTACTTCCCCATATACTGCCCATGAGAAAGTGTCACAAGACGGTCTTGACGTCGAGATCATCCTCTTTCTCGTGAGACTGTCGCCGCATTCGAACGAATTGGCCATTCCATGTGTTGAAGTGAACACAGCCAAGAAGCGAATCCGCATACACGGAACTCCCATCCAGCCCAGAGATGGGGGAGAGAAAGGTAGCGCCAGAGTTGTTGTTGGAGCCAGGCTACAAGACTGACGCTGATCAATGCACAATTGGCATGGTACAGATCCGGTACACTTCTTCTTTGCTTGGGCACATCGTTCGCAGGCGTTGCGCCTTCTGCCGCGTTTACTTGGTCGTAGAACGGGAGGCGATGTGCCGGATTTGAGACGTTTCTCACATGTTCTCCAATGTCGAAGCAGAGCGTCGCTGACAGTATAAGTAAAAGTACAGTGAGATGACTGGGCGATGAAGTGAACTTACCGGCGGTTGAAGCTTTGAGGACAGAATTGGCATTGGAATTCACGTTGATCTGTGTCTTGGCAAGGTTAGCTGTTGAATGGCTTCTGTGGGACTTGCTGACTTACGAGATAGACGATGTCGATTTAGATGATCTGAATGATGGTCTTAGTGAGTGAGATAGACTTGGGGTTCGATAGCAGTTTCACATACCGGGTTTCGTAAACTCTGTCGAGCAGATACTGCAACGGAGTGGCCCCTCACCCATCATCAAGTCGATACAGCCAGAGGAAGTGGGTAACAGCTGAATTGTATTCTAAACCTTAGGCTACTAAAATAAAGTAGCCTAAGTAATGGTCTAATCTGGTATAAGGTGACTGAGTTATTTCGTCTCTTTGCTCTCGGCGGCGAGTTCCTCTGATACCCCGAGGACTGGACAATTCTGGGTCTCGATGCCGAAAGAAAAGGGCATCCCTGCATGGACCAGGGTTGTTCTTGAGTTGAAGATAGTGTACGTCGCCACTTGACTCTGTCTTAATGATTGAGGTTGCAAGGGTCGTCGGGAAATCTGCCACCCCCGCAAACTAGTTCGGCATCCCCACGATCCAGACAAGCTAAGGTCCACCCTCGGTATTCCTTTGCGGGAGACGGCAATTGTAAACTACATGGGTCAATGTTAGTTTATTAGTTTGATGATGGCTGCTGTGATACTTGTCAATTGACTGTAAGTGTTTGACTTCTTTTGTTCTTGACTCATGGCGACCCATCATAGAGCTGCGACAGTGGTTGTAAGTCATCAACCCTCTCAAAGAACCAATTGACTTACAGGACACGACATAGCGCAATGCTACAGGCTTTACCTTTGATATACAGTCAATTCCTCTCCCCAAGCCTCAGCCATGGGAAATCCTCATCAAGCTCTCCGCCACCGGCGTATGCGGTACTGATATGGCCCTCGCAGCTGGGTATCTAGGTCCCTGCCGTGACATCCTTGGCCACGAAGGCGTAGGCCGCGTTGAACAAATTGGAGATGGCGTAGACCCGAGTACCATCAAAGTTGGTGACCGTGTGGGAATTGCTTGGGTTCGGGATGTCTGTGGTCGATGTTCCTGCTGTCTTGAACCAGGCGGCGAAGTCCGCTGCTTAGAGCAGCAGAACTCGGGACGGAAGTGGGATGGAACATTCGCTGAGTACTGTCTTGTGCCTGGACGGTATGTTTTGGCTATTCCGGATGATCCTGTGTTGCCGGATGAGCTTGTTGCGCCGATTCTGTGCGGTGGTGTTACGGCGTATAAGGCGTTGAAAGCTTGTGAGGCCACGCCTGGATCTTGGGTTGCTATAGTCGGAGCGGGCGGTGGTGTAGGTGGTTTAGGTATCCAATACGCCAAAGCAATGGGCTATCGAGTCGCAGCAATCGACGTCGGCGCCGCAAAGGAGTCCTGCTTAGCAATGGGAGCCGATGCCTACTTCGACGGCTCAAATCCTGACACACCAGCGAAGTTCAAGAAACTGACTCCCAACGAGGACGGAGCAAAGGCCGTCATCGTTACAGCAGGATCAGGAAGGGCATACCAGAGCGCTCTTGATCTAGTCGCCGCGTTCGGCACTTTAGTCTGCGTTGGCATACCGCCGCCTGATCAAGCGATGAACCTGCATCCTTTGAAGCTCATTGATAGGGGGATTAAGCTCTTGGGAACGTTGGTTGGTACGAGGACTGAGACGATGGAGGCGCTAGAGTTTGTTCGGAGGGGGGTTGTGAAGCATGTTGTGCAATCTGTTAGCTTTGATGAGATGGATGATCTGGGCAAGAAATTTGCTACTGTAAGTGTTGAGCCCCTTTTGCTCCATTGTTGACTCTTGACTGACCTTAGTAGACCTCTGGAAAGCTGGTGATTCGGTTCGAATGAGTGTTGTGTGTCGAGTGTTGTCGCGCAAGCAGTTGTGTATCAGGTAGACGGTCTTGAAGTGGAAAGCGATAAGAGTTCGGCTTGTCGTATGTCTGTGAATGATTAGTTAGTGAAACCAGAACTCAGGCGTAATTTCTTAGAACTTGCCTACTTCACTTGCTGTTTGCCAGAGTCCAGTGTTCCACAGACTGCCTCCATCACCACAACCCTCAATAGTCGCATTGAGTCATTAAAATACAAAGCTCGTATCTTTCTGACTCGTCAGACAACCTGCGAGAAATAGCACTCTTTGCAGATGCACATCTGAGGGTCCTTCGGCAGATCCCTTCCCTTAGCTGCTCGGTGCAGATCTTGGCCCGTCGGACAATTCCCCACCTCCACCTCTCTCAGTACGAGCTATGCTTAGTACCCCTTCATTGGCCGAGCTGTTACACAACGATATCAGTCCCTGGGATAATACATGCAATATCACCATCTGAAGAAATTATTTATATCGTACGATTCTGCCATGTTCGTCCCTTGCGTTATTCTCCATCTCTTCTTCCTATCCATCCCTTAACCACCACAATGGCCACTCCAAACCCCCTTGTCCTGCCTCCAGGCATAGAAGCCTCAGTCTTCCACCAATTCATCACAGAAGCAACCCAAATCACCGGCTCAGAAAATGTCATCATCATATCCTCCCCCTCCCAGCTCAACAAGAACGACTACAAAGACCCCAGCAAAGTCCACGACATGTTCCACATAACCGACGCTGACCACTTCGTCTCTTCCGCAACCATAACCCCCCGCGACGTCGCTGAAGTCCAAACCATCGTGAAGCTCTGCAACAAGTTCGAGATTCCCCTCTGGCCATTCTCCGTCGGGAGGAATGTCGGCTACGGCGGTGCTGCGCCCAGAGTTCCTGGGTCCGTTGGACTCGATCTGGGAAAGCATATGAACAAGATCCTCAAGGTTGACGTTGAGGGCGCTTATGCGCTTGTTGAGCCTGGTGTTACGTATATGGATCTCCATCAGTATCTTGTGGATAATGGGTTGAGGGATAAGTTGTGGATTGATGTTCCCGACCTTGGAGGCGGCTCGGTCTTGGGCAATACTACTGAGAGAGGAGTTGGTTATACACCTTATGGTGAGTTGTCACAGACTAGGCGTCGATGTTGACTTGCTAACTCAGAATAGGCGATCACTTCATGATGCATTGTGGTATGGAAGGTAAGCGCAACTCCCATTGCACCTCGTTGGGGGTTTATGCTAACACATTACCAGTCGTCCTTCCAGACGGAACCCTCGTACGCACAGGAATGGGCGCTCTCCCGAATCCCAACGCCGACCCAAACGCCCCTCCACACGAGCAAGAGCCAAACGAAGCGTGGCAACTGTTCAACTATGGCTTCGGACCTTACAACGACGGCATCTTCACTCAATCCTCTCTCGGCATCGTCGTCAAGATGGGTATCTGGCTTATGGTCAACCCTGGCGGTTATCAGTCTTACCTGATCACGATCCCCAAAGACGAAGACCTTCATCAAGCCATTGAGATCATCCGACCCCTTAGGACATCAATGGTGTTGCAGAATGTACCTACAGTCCGACACATTCTTCTTGACGCAGCCGTCATGGTATGTAACCGTCCTCGTCATTACTGCCCCCTACAGTAACTCACAATCGTCTTAGGGGAATCGAGAAAAGTACACCGACTCGAAGTACCCCCTTACCGACAAAGAGCTGGACGACATAGCCAAGAAGCTAAACCTAGGCCGCTGGAACTTCTATGGCGCTCTTTACGGACCTGAGCCTATTCGAAAGGTCATGTGGGAAGTTGTCAAAGGCGCATTCTCTGCTATCCCTGGCGCAAAGTTCTACTTCCCCGAAGACATGCCCGATAATCTCGTCCTCCAAACCCGAGACCTCACATTACAAGGAATTCCCACCATGACAGAGCTAGAATGGGTGTAAGCCACCACAACCTCGATCGAATCCCAGATACTGATCAGTGCCTTACAGAAACTGGCTTCCAAACGGCGCCCACCTTTTCTTCTCCCCCATCGCAAAGGTAACAGGCGACGACGCAGTAGCCCAATACGAAATAACCCGTCGCCGCTGCGAAGAAGCAGGCTTCGACTTCATCGGCACCTTCGTAGTCGGCATGCGCGAAATGCACCACATAGTCTGCCTCGTCTTCAACCGTCTCGACCCCGACTCATGCAGACGCGCACATTCACTTATAAGCACGCTTATCGACGACGCTGCGAAAAAGGGATGGGGAGAGTACAGGACGCATCTGGCGCTCATGGATCAGATTGCGCAGACGTATAACTTCAATGGCAATGCGCAGTTGAAGTTGAATGAGACTATCAAGAATGCGCTTGATCCGAAGGGGATTCTTGCGCCAGGGAAGAATGGGATTTGGCCTAGGGGGTATGATGCTAAGAAGTTTGCTGTACAGCCACAAAGCTTTGGGCCTGGGGCGCACTTATAAGTGTTTGAAGTGCATTTCAAGACTATACGAACTTGTAGCGGCACTGCGACTCTCAAGGGAACCTTGTACTGTGAATTGGGCAAGCTTGAAGTTTGTTCTACACATTGACCCTCTCATGAAGCTACCGTGACTCTATTTGACTCCCTGCTGCGACACAGTATTGCTTTCATCAAAGACCTCCCTAGTGGTAACAGGTACTGAAACCTCTTGACCGGGCTCAAGTAGTAAGTAACAACCCTTCCATCACTGAGAAGACGACACTTTCTAAGCGATACTCTAAACTCTGGAAGAATACTCTTAGACTGCTAGTAGATAACCCTAGGACTCTTCAATTCTGGGACCTCCAATATCCAGATCAAACTGATCGGGCGCAACTCCATAGTCCTCATCTCCATCGTCACGACCTCCAGGCGCCTCAATTTCCCCAGAGTGTCCCTGACCCCAGATGTTGACCCAAAGAGGTTCGTATGGCATGTCCACCCCCTCATGATGGTAAACCCGCTGGTACCCGTCACGGGTCACCTAGACCCCGTGCCGGATGGGAACTAGAACTCCTTCTACAACCCGAAAGCCGTCGTGCAAGGAACCGTCGGCAGTGAACTTATGGCCAATGATGTCGGAAAACATCATCGCCTGCGCGGTGGGAGTCTCCTCGCTATTCTGCATATTGAGAACAACGTCCTCAACCGTCTGGGCAACGCTTGACCACCTAACGTAGCCCACCTTGTTTAGGCGGATGAACCACTGAAGACTGAGGTCGCGTTAGTTACTGCCAAAGGATGGAATGTGATAAGACCTTACAGGGCATCGCGGTAGCCACGAGGCTCGTCGTCAACTCGGGTCAGGGGTGAAAATCGAAACCTGAGCAAGTTGGAGGGGTACTCGTTGGGGAGGAGGTCCTCAAGCTCATCGGATCTTCCCTGAATAGCTCCGATAATATGAAGGAGGTTCAGATCGTTCTCCCGACCCATGTTTGCATCTTGGAGAGGGAATTCGAAAGAAACAAGAGGAGAGTAGAAGGGACGCTCCTCGATGACGAACTGAACGTTGAGGTCACCTCCATTGTCCTCCTCCTTGCATTCCATCCACAAGGCCAAACCGCAGACTGAGACGGTGTCCTTGAACTCATCAACGAACGTGAACTCTTCGTCCAGCTCGAAGTAGAAATGGTAGAATGTCTGCCCGGTCTGGTCATCCTGGAAGGCTTGCAGAGAGAAAGAGGACAAACCGATTCGAAGAACATGATAGAGGACGTGATGATGCTGGCATTCAAGGATATCGTGGAAATTGAAGATCTCTCGGTCCTCAATAGGAGCTTGACGCCAGTCGTTATCCATGATGCATGAAAAGGAGATTTAGAAAGATACTGTTGGGATGGTAGGTTGTCTTTGTTATACTGGTGCCTTGAAGAATCATGAATGATACAAGACAATGCTGAACCATAGACAGCGATTGGTTACTTCGGGGGAGATTATACTGGGCACTGGCAGCTCTGGCACGTGGGGACCGCGACTTACACATGACTAGTCTGCCTGAAGGGCCTCGAGCACTTGCACTAAACTGCAAAGGGGTATTTTGCATGATTGATATCGTGGGCACGTTACTTCGCTTAAGTGACTCCTGAGAAGCGACGAGTTCGTGTTGGATATCAACTTGAGTCTCCTCGAGAAGCCAGCCCCATCCTCCCAATTTCTGCTCCACTACATCCTTCGCGAGTGATTTAGTGCCTCACTCTTCGCCTTTCATACACATTCAAAGAACAAAACGGGACTACCACTATCACGACTCGAGCAGCAACTTATGTGAGTTTGGCCAATATTCGTCTCTGACGCTGCTTTGCTAACGAGTCACTTGACAGCTTCCAGATACTTATTATTACGACCGCCAGTCCCCTGCTGCGCAGGGTATTCTGAGAAGTGTACGTAGTCGATACGTGATAAGAAGATTCATAATGCTAATCTTAGGGATAAAAGGTCGCCTCCTCCGCGAGCTCGTCGGACCCAGCTTCACCCCCAACTCATTCTCGGGCTCCTCATTTCACCCCCAACTCATTCTCGGGTTCCTCGACGCTATGCAAGCTCCAAAGTACCGGACCTCGCCAACGAGCTCAACAGCCTTGGCAATACTCTTCATCGTCTTCCTCTTCTTCCTCTTCTTCTTATCCTTCCTCTCCTTGCTGTATTCCGTCTTCTTCCTCAATAACATCGGAATTGTTTTTCTTCTCCAACACAGGCTCTAGGCCTTGATCCTGGAGCAAGAGAAGGTCAATTTGACCGAACCCTCCCCTGTTCTCCTCGGCCGCCTACTCCCTCAGGGCTTCGTTTCTACCACTCCAACCATAACCACAACCACTGGTGGTTCTGGGAGTGAGCTGGACAGACTTCTCCGTCGAATCGAAAGTACGTCCATCGAGCTCGGAGCCGGTGCGGCGCCCTTTCTAGGGTTGCTCCCGTTTTCAAATTGAGAGTACCGCTGTCGGGTTCTGCCGCCTTGAATCGAGAATACCTCAAGCTCTTGAACATTCAGTTCCAGCCCGTCGGCCTCATCGTCCCCTGCCGGGGTTGGGGCCCGTCTTGAGGAATTTCAGAGTCTTGCCCAAACCCCGGCGGGACAAGCTATGTTAGCCAACTCGCGGAATCATACACTGCTTCGGGACATCATTGGAACAAAGAACGTCACCGAACTGTTTGCAAAACCTAATGTTGAGAGCATCTACCAGCAGTAGGTAGCCTTTATCTTCCTCCGAAACATGAAAACTGTTTAGCTGACTGTCCTGGCTCGACCAGGCATCCAAGAACCACGCACATGGAGCCCACGCTACCCTTGCGTTGGGCGGCGCTTATCTTTTGCGATCACAAGAACCCGACAGCAGGGAGGCTGACAGAAAAAGGCTGGCAAAAAAGGTTCTACTGAGACAATGTCTGCCAACGAGACACCTGTTGAGCAACCTGCTCAGTCCTACGCTATGCCGGCTGCGAATCCGGCTGGATACCAAAATCAAGATCTTCCCTATGGAGGACAACCTTATATCAATCTCAATCCTGGTCTTGAAGCCCTGGGAGAGTTTACTGACCCTGAGGTTTACCGCAAGCTGAAGTTTGGTGGCATGATCATTCACTGTGAATCCGGCTGGATATCAAAACCAAGATCTTCCCTACGATGGAAAACCTTATATCAATTTCAATCATGACCTTGATGTCAACATCTTTTCTTGAGTAGTTGACCAGCTCGCTGATCAAAGGAAGGAGGAATTGGGTGTTCTAGGTCCACTTGGTTGTGACAACAGACAGCGACCCAAAGACTGTCCACATCTTTATGGTGAGCTTCAGCATCCGTCTCTTGGAGTGCATCTACTGGCCAAGCTTCAGCCTGGAGGGGGTGACCTGGCCAGTCATCCATCACTTGGAGGTTTCTGTGGAGGATTCGATCAGAAGAGGTACTGAACTAAGATAGTTCTTAAAATGAACGGCTTTTATTATATGATAGTAAACTGGACCACATCAGTGGGGATGGTCGCGTGTCATGGCGTTAGATGCAGTGAGGATTTGTTTGACTGTAACCTCTGGCGAAGGCCTTCGACGTCGACGAACCAGAGCCCATTTTCGCCGATCTGAATAATTATAGGACTCAACGAATTGGTGCCACAGTGGGTGCAAGCCTGATATACCGTGGATCCTCTGTATCTAGTCCAAACATGACTGTAGCCTCTCCCGCACTCCGCGACTTCGTCGCATCCCACGGCCTATATCCATACAGTTCATTATCCCACCACGACCCACGTGCAGCATGAGCAATCGCTAAGAAACTAGCTTGTAGTTGCGGAAGACGCTTTATACGATTTCGAATAATGTCAATGACCGAGACTAAGACACTTAAGAAAAGCATAACAGTCACAGCAATCAGAACGCTAAAGCGCACGATATAAACTGTCTCGATAACTTTGGAAAGAGTCTCCACTTCAGACGTGCCAAAGTATCCCGCCGTAGTAATTGAAACGATAGCATGGGCCATGTTTCCAAAAAAGTGGCCAAGGTCCTTTGATGTCGGAATCGTGTAGAGTGTGTCCAAGGTCTCGTCCACAATGCCAATTCGGTTTCGGATGATGTACCATGGTATGGCGGACATGTACATACCCAATGCGTCGAGCGCATCTGTGTCGAGAGTGGTTCTGTTGGAGTTGGGCATTTCAACACACTGCGTCATGACTGTTCCGTTGAAAGTACATGAGCCGACAAGCCATTGGAGAGATGGGGTGCATTTTGTTCGTGAGATCCAGTCGCCGCTTTTCGTTTGAACCAAACTGTCATCGTCACCTCGATTTCGAAGGGCTGTTTCGTTAATATTCGGAATAGCCTTTATCGCTGATAAGAAGTAGGTGGTTCCTGAAGTCGGAATCTTGTGTTCGCCGTATTGAGTAGCGTTACTCCAAAGTCTTATCCGTTGCGAACCTTGAGATAGTAGCTCAATGCTTTCAACACTCTTGTCAGGAAGCGTAAAGTTGTATACCGTGTTTCCATCGTCTTTGTATGATGTGTAGTTCACTTCAGTGGCTGCTTCGCAGTTGGCAGTCCAGTTGAAGAAGACGAGGCCTTGGTAGGTTGTGTTGGTAGCAAAGGTCAGATTGTGTGTTGGAACGGGACCTAGAATGCCAGAATCGACGTTGGCGAGTGCGTTTTGAGAGACGAGACTTCCAACGAAAGTGAAGACTGTCTGAGAAAGGAAGGTATCGTTCTTCGATAGTGAAGGATGAAAGTCAGAATCCGAGCTGCCGCCCATTGCCACTGAAAGAGAAGAAACATTCGTCTTCGCCGCCTCAGGAAGTCCAACAACACCCATTCCATCCCTCCAATGCGTATAAGGCCCAGTAGTAAGAATAAGCGTTCCCACAGGAATAAGCAAAGTTCTCGTAAGAATCAACGCAGTATGCATAACACCATACCACCAAGAGTACTTGATAACAGTTGGCAACGTCAACAAGGTCAAACTCTCGGCAATATCATCAAGATCTTTAACCGCCACGGGCCGTTGAGCGGTCAGCGCGAAAAGATGCTGTCTTCTGAAATCCCATACTACAAATTGTACAAAAAGCTCGGCTGGAGTGAGAAGTGCGGATAGGGCTATGCCGGAGTAGAGTTGATCGACTGGGAATGAAGGAGAAGTGCGGAAGACGCGACGTTTTGAAGCGTCAGTGTCGAGGACGGCGCCGGTGTATGACCATGCTACGCAGAAGATTGCGCCAGCTAGATATAGACAGAGGATAATGACATAAGCTCTTAGCCAAGAATCAAGCTTGTAAAGCCTCTTATTGTCTTTCGGCTGAGAGTCGGGAATAGGTTGGTTTTCGTAGCCGGGGCTTTTTTCATCCCCACGGTCTTCCTTTTCAAGGGACGAATAAACCGCCGGTGTAGACATCTTGGCGTAAAGAACAATAGAAAAAAGATATACGGATTAGGTCGGGATGGGAGCGCGGCGGTAGAGGTAGAGGTTTGGAGGATCGGACACGGACACGGACACGGAGATTGTGGGGCTGAAGGATCCATGGATGTCAGCAGTAAAACGTGAAACGGGGCTGAAGGAAGGATTCGAATGTCACCGTACAAGGATCATTATTGGTGGTTTTGTTTGTGGTAGTATTGATATGCTTATGTTTGGTAGTAGGTAAGGCTGATTTGAAGTTGATTTGAATGTCGCGATTGTGTTGATGCTGCAGGTGAATGGCAGGTTGTGGTAATTGACTCAAAGAAAGCGGTTCTTTGAAGGGAAGATATGATTTGACGTGGACAGGCTGTTGAGGGGATGTTTTGGGTGCGTGCATGACATGAGAACTATCATCTTTTTGTAACGGCTAGAAGATTGTTAGAGTTGGATTTAAACTCTCGAGAAAATAGACCAAGCTTCTGGCATACAACTGTGGCGGCACTTGATCAGCCAATCAGAGCTAACCTCGCTCCACCCAACACAAAGCCTTCAAAACATCATGGACGAACAAAGAGATTCAATTCTCAAATTATATACCAGAAGTCTATTTCAAATCCAGTCTCCAACTCCTAAACGTGTCGAATATCGATAATAAGGTTTCCGTTACCCCAAGCAGGGTTCGCACCCTTGACTCGTCCATCAGGCTTGGTGCACTTGTCCATGATCAAACCAGCACCACGAGCAACATCCTTGCAAGAGGAAGAAGAGGTACCACGAAGAGTAAGACCGGTGATCTGGGTGGTGCCGCGCTTGCAGAAAGCCTGGCCAGAGACGTGGCCGACACAGGCTTGGTTCAGGCTGGCGAGGTAGTTGATGCAGTAGACGGCGTCAGCGGCCTGAGGAGTGTTAGCTTCTTGTAGATATGGAATGGGGTGGAGGAAGACGTACACTGCCGAAAGAATCGTCACCGAGATCGTCTCTGCAGGTTGTGTCGGAGCGAGCTTCGAGGTTTTGAGGGATGGCGGCTACGGATGTACCGGCGGTGAGGAGGAAGGTGAGAGAGGTGATGAAGTTGACCATTTTGGCGGTTGTAGTTGAAGTGATGAGACTCTGAGGTGCAGACGGGATGGCTACCTTTTATCTCTTACCTTTTCTCATGTCGTCTGGATACCCTTGACCGTCTTGCATGTGCAAACCCCGTTGCTTCCGCTCCGAGGCTATGGTGCCAAGCTGCATGGGAGGATAGTATAACTTCTCGAATTGGGTTGATGCTGTAGGGCGGCCATTGAGATTTCGTTATGCGGACTGGGGGACCCTGGAGGAAAAGCGACAGCGCATCTTGATGGAGTTACAAGGTTGTGAAGTGGATTCTGACTGGAAGGGGAATGGGTTTGGCGAGAAGCTTAGGCGGCCGACGCTTGCCACTCTCAAGTTTGTAGATAAGATATGCTTTGGTGTCTTCGATACACAGAGACGAATGCCAATAAGGATTGTGTGTTGATAGCATATTGGCTCTACTATCGTCTTCCACTCGATATGTTCAGTTCACTATTTAAGAGTCGGCCAACATCGTTGTGTCCTATGGGCCTCGGTTAATCGGCCCTTGCAACCGACGTCTCTCTACAGTCCTTGATTGGCCATATCACGAGAAAATAATATTACTCAGCATCCATAGCCACACAATTCGTTTACTCCTGCCGAGTGTCTGTCCAATGATGGTAAAGTCTGGAGACCCTGGACCCTACATTACCTATGAGATACTCCCGCGGACCTGGTCTGATATGTGGGATCTGCCGAGAAGAACTTTGGTCTAGCTCCGGGAAGGATTCAGCCTACGGAGCAGACCTTCCCTTTGCATACAAAATCTATATTGCGGTGAGGCTTAGACTGCAGGAATTCGCAGTGATGAAGACGTTTGTATCTACAAGTGGCGAGAATAAATCTACAAGTGAGTAAATGTAGGCTTGTTGGAGAAATCCCAGTGAAGATTTGATGCTTTGTAGAGCATGTAACATCACCGTGGTGAAATCAGGACTGGAGCAAACTTTCCATGGCAAAGATAAGGTCCTTGTCAAAATCAGCAGCGGATACTGGACCAAGGGGCTTGTGCATAGAATCCACTCCGTATTTCTTCTAGGTGGATCTCCTGGGCGATTACCGATTGGAACATAAACGATCAACGGGGCGTAGCATAACTCCGTAAGATTCAACTGCATTGCCATATCTAAAAAAATATACCTTTCCCACCAATGGCCTATCTAATCCGCGTATAGAAATCACTGGTCCCTTTCTGTCGTTCTCCGTGCTGGAAGATCTAAACTCTTCAATGAGCCTGGGTGCGAGGGCCCAATCAACCGATGTAGGGACTTCTGTGCCGAAGAATGGGTTCAGATTCGCTCTTTCATTTGCATTATTTATAGGTTCCCCTTTGCAATATTCTTCAAGAACTCAGCTGACGTACTTTTCAAGAACTAGAATGCAATAAACAAGTTTGCAAATGATCTGGCTGAGAGTTTCACCAGTTCTACGAATGATAGAGTTCATCAAAGTCTGATGGGCGAGGAGAGCGCTGGGTGGACTACATGAACTGAGAGACCTTAGAGCGCCGACTGGATGAAGGATACTTCGCACGTGGATAGATTGGAAACCACCTTTTAGCCAGAAACCAACATATTGTAGACCTCGATTGCGAACTGCACAGTCCCTTCAAAATGCTGGATGCTGACTATCTCAAATATCAAGACTCATCAGGAACACGTGATCGACCGGCTGTCATGTTTGATTTATCTGTATTATATGCCTGAATCCTTTCTGACCGGTGAGCTTTCATGTTCTAGTGAAGCTTTTCAACATTGTCTTGCAGTACAATTGATAGGTCTAGACAAAACACAACGCTAGTAAATCTTCGCTTCAATTCCACCAAAAGCAAATTTTCAAACGAGAGTAAAGTAATCGCTGTGTGCATCTCATTGTAAATTGCCTGAATGCCTAGCTGCCGACCGAACCTTCCCCTTCCAACGCCAGCGGAATAACTACTCGGAGTCTGCTAGTGACACATCTTGTGATAAAATGGCCGGCAATGCGTACTTTGTAACCAGTGGAATGACATCGGATTGGTGATATGCATCCAGCATACGTCTGGCGTACTCAACTCGCTTGAGACTAGCAGTCCCTCACATTGAATCCAAGAGGTTGATAATCACGTTCGCCCAAGCGGTATTTTGCTCATGTTGGCTTCGTATTGTTCAATGATAAAGCAGCTTGCAGTCCAAGATCGCTAGTCTGACCCGTACATGGCAGCCATCCGGCAGGGGCGGCTCGGGAACTCGGTTGTTGGTAGAGGTAGATACTGACAAGACCGCCCGAGCC